TCCAACAAAAAAGCAAGTACTAGCCGGGCGGATGGTGGCGCACGCCTTTAATCCCAGCACTCAGGAACCAGAGACAGGCGGATTTCTGGCCAGCCTGGTCTACAGATCAAGTTACAGGACAGCCTCCAAAACGATACAGAGAAACCCTGTCTCAAAAACAAAACAAATAAACAAAAAAAGCAAGTACTACATTGTCCACAGCATCACAGTTTGTAACAGTCCAAAACCACAAACAACCCACATCAATCATGGTAGAATGGCTATTTATTTTATGGATGTATAACACGTGTAGAATAGGCCTTTTCCTTCTATGCACAACATGTTCACCTCCCTGCCATATTGGAACAGAGAATAACATGGCCCGGTAGCCATGGCAACACCTGAGCGAACCAGCACAGGGATAGCCCGGTTTACGGTAACACTAACGGAGATCTCGAAATTCTGTTTAGATGGAAGAAGGGAAGGCATAAATCCTCAATGGGAAGTCCAACTCTTACTCCTTTTGCCCTCCTCCTTCTTTTGATTTTGAAGTGAAAGATAAGTTGAAAGCAGGGATTCATTATGCAGCATCCATGACGCCATCATCCCTAATGGAGTGGAGCTTGGCATGGTCCAACTGCTTTGGAGTCACCTACACTCCTGTAAGTAACACCTCACTATAAGTAAGCCGAATAAACTCACTGGTTCCCCAAGATGGACTTCTGGTAGAGTCGTGCTTTGATCTGTCACTGGTGCCCTATCTAGGGTGAATATATATCTGAGTCTCTCTAGGAATAAAGTCAATGCAACAACACAATAGCAATAAGAACAAGCAAACCTCCTCCTCTCTAAAGAACCTTGTCAAATTTCACAAGAGGTAATGCTTGTGGGGCACAGAAGAGCACGGGCAATCTGTTTCCATTAACACAAAAATGGAAAAGCAGGCAAAACTTGACCACTCTATTAGAAATCAAGACAGTGACTATCCTTTGTGCTGAACTTTCCAAGGAGGCCATGAGAGAGGGGCCTGTCATCGTGGAGTCAGACTAAAAACCCTCAGCCACTGAGAAGCAAGAATCCTAACACTAAAAAATAAAATCCCAACAAGGAGACCAACACCTGTGGTAAGGCTGCCAAAGGCTAAGGCCTGAATGCATAGGATGCTGGGTAGGGCATCACCCCTTTCCCGGTCACTGCCAGAGGCTCTCAAACAAGATTTCGCCTTGATTATGTAAAGACATCCTGCCTTCTTGCATCCCAAAGGGCTACACTGCAATCTTATCAAATGTAATCCTGTCAAATGCCCCTCAGGAGCCATGTACTGATAGGACGGAAACTGCTAATCCACCAAAAGCCCAGCTGTGACTTGTAAAAACAGTGAGCTGGGCTCTCTCCTCCCTGAAGCCACAGCCACACCTGGGTGAGTCTCACTTTCCTATTTCTCATGTCTAAGCCTATATAAAATATCTTTAATAAAATATCCAAGGCTAGTCCTGAAATTATTTTTTAGCGTCAAAGCCACAAATGTGTACGGGTCCCTAAAACCTCAGGACTCCTCCTGAGGTGCAGTAGAAAGCTCTGCCTCCTTTACCCCAAAATGCTGATGGAATGAGGGAGATTCAGGGACACAGGAAAAGCCGTTTCTTATTATGGGAGCTGGCTCTGGTTATTCAAATTCATTAAACAACACATTTATAGTTTGTTATACCTTTATCCTTGCATCTCAATGAGCAGTTGCCACAAAATACATGGACATTTAACCATATATAGAGTAGAAAAATATATTTAACTTTCAAGTCTTAAGTCAGATAAAAATGGAATAAAAATCCAATCCAGCCAGGTGTGGTGGCGCGTGTACTTTTAATCCTGATACTTATGGATCTCTGTGAGTTTCATGACATAGTGAAGCTCTGCCTCAAAATAAAAAAAAATAAATAAAACTTCAAACAAAAAGTAGGCAGAGAGAAAAAGGGGTGGGGACTAGTAATAAATAAGAATAAACAATAGGAAAAATAAGACAGTAGAAGTAAGCTCAAAATACCAATAGTCTAAATAAACATTGGTAGGTTAAAGCAGAGGCCAGTAGGTGGTCCAGTAAGGAAAGGTACCTACTGCTAAACCTGCTGACCTGAGTTTCCTTCCTAGGACACTCATGACAAAGGCAGGTATCTAACTCTCACTAGCTGTCCTCTGACTTCCACATGGACATCTCCATTCACACACACACACACACACACACACACACACACACACTCAAAATTAGTATTCTTGGATATTATCAACACAGTTTATTATGACTAAATGAGATTTTTAAAAGTGTACTTGAAAGAGAAAGAAAACAGTCCTAAGAAGACAGAGACAGTCTGTGACAGGACACAGGACAGAGAATGTGGAGAATGGCAGACAGGTAGATAACGTAAGCCTTCATAAATGCAATGAACACAGACTTGCAAGACCAGAGCAGCATCAAGGCCTAACCCAAGGGTTAAGGTGGAAATACAGCTATGGCCACAGGGTGGATCTGCTCAGCAGAAGACTCAAATGATTAAATAAAGGAATCATGATTTCAGTCCAAAAGGACCAGAGCTTGAATATAGTAAATTCATAAAAGCAGAAAGAAGTATAAAGTTTAACAACAGAAATTAGTAACACAGGAAGGTAAAAATCAATAGCATTAATCAGTAAGCCCCAAATCCAGTTCTTTGAAAGGATTGAGAAAAGAAGCAATCATACATAAGCCTGACCAATTAAAAAGGAAAAAAGATGGGTGTGATCAAAGGACATGATATACATGTGTGAAAATGTATGAAAACCATTATTTTATACAATTACTACATGCTAAATACATGATATACATGGGTGAAAATGTATGAAAGCTATTATTTTGTACAATTACTACATGTTAACAAGAGGGGGAACAAGAGAAGCCACAAAGCATTGGCATTAACAAGGATAATGACATCATACACACCTGAGTTTATCTTGAAAGTGAATAGGTACCAGGTGCTAACATGTATTGATTGTCAATAATGCTAATGATTTCCTGGGACAATGAAGGGCATTAAAACGACTGAAGCAATAGGCCAGCCCAAGTGCAAAGGTGACTGAATGGTGGCATTGGCTTCCTGAAGCACCCAGTGGCAGCCCAGGTGGTGTGCAGGAGATTTCCGCCAGACTTCAAGGAACAGATCATTCTTCTATTCCAAAGCACAGAAAATGACAGAAATTTCCAGCCAGACCAATGTGAATAACACAAGCATAATTACTGGGCAGGAGGAATCATTCATAGCAATGGCACTTACCAATCCCTAAGGAAAATGCTAGTTTTGGGATCTATCAAACAAACCAAACATGCATTTGAGGTGGTGTTTGTTGTTAGGGGGAGGGGGCATTGGGTTTTTCTGCTTGTTTTGTCTTCAATTTTATTTTTGTTTTTGTTGTGTTGCTATTATTATTGTTGTTTTTTAAGACAGGGTCTTGCCATGTAGCACAGGCTGGCCTCAAACTCATCCTTGCATCTCAAATAGGAGTGCTGGGATTAGAGGCATGAGCCACCATACATAGCTTCAAAAAATCATCCTAAAGTATTACAGGATTCTAGTAAGAAGATCCAGCAAAATAATAATGTGTTAGAGATGTTTAAGAATGAAATCTACATGGTCATATCAATCCATATTGTACAGAAACATGGGGGTTATGAATAGAAATACACTTAACATAATAGAGCCCACTTACAGAAAAGACGGGGAAAACAATTCTCTAAAACTAAACAAGACAAAAACGTCCTATGGAACAACCACAAATCAGCTTAAAAACTAGCACTAAAACTGATGCAGGCTTGAGGGGTGCCACCGCGTCGCCCCTAAAAATACTGTCTTTGGCCAAATGTGGTGACTCACTCCTGGAATCCCAGTGCTCAGGAGGTGGAAGGAGGGGACACATTCAAGTCCAGTCTGGGCCACATAACAATTCCAGGTCAGCCAGACTACCTAGGGAGACTCTATCTCGAAAACAAAAACAAAATAACCATGTTATGATGGCTCATGTGAGTCCCAGGCCAGTCAGAGTTAACTAGCGAGACCCTGTTTCAAAATAAACAAACTTGGTGGCTTTGAGTAATCATACAAAGCTGTTTTCCTTATACTGGGGAATTAGAATTGACAAACCCCTTCCCCCACCCTCCACCTCCGTCTTAAACGTTGAAGTAACAGTGTTTGAAACTGGATAACCAAATCTTATGAAACCAAAATTTGATCAAAAGGGTTCGGTCGTGACTTCACTCAAAAACACTTTATCTCTCGCCTCCAGCCACCGCAGTTACTAATGGATACCCATGTCAACCAGTCCGACATAATTCTTCCGATAGAGGGCAAGGAAGAGCACCTTCATGGGATTTTTTTTTTTCCAAAGCGTATACTGCTTATTATATAAACTTGCGTGCTGGCGTATCGAGCTCCCACAAAATCAAACTAAGATATTCAAACTCAAACTTGTTTTTAAAAAAATAAGCACATAAAACTAATTTTGTTCCAAGGGCTTTAAGAAAAAGAGACCGGCACTGTTGCGCTCATGCCAGGCTGCTCACGACGAGGACACGCACCAGCATCCGCACAGTTCCCCGCGCTCCCAGGCGTCCTGGAGACCCGCAGCCCGAGCCCTAGGAGATCACCTGGGCAGGACCAGGGCTCTGTGGAAGCACACTCGGGGGCACAGAAGTCCCACCGGCGCACACACACCTGTCCCGGGGGCGGGGGCTCCCCAGGGCCACAGTTGCCGGAGCCACCTGGCCCCCGTGCCAGGATGCTGCGCCAAAACCAAAGGGAGTGCCGGCCACCTGCGGTCCCCACCTGCAGCACGATCCCTGTGCTGCCAGCCGCCTGGTACCCAGGACAGCAGCGCGTCTTCCCAGAGGAGCACCTTGTATCTGCGAGCCAGGACTCCTGCACCCGCGTCTTGCTCGCCAGATCTGAGACAAGGCAGCTCAGGAACAGAGGAGAGGGGCGGCCCATACCCCGACTCACCAGCCGTGGTTCACTCGCACCGGACTCCAGCGCCGCCGCAGCCCTCAGCTGCCGCGGCTTTCGGCGCTCAAGGATGCTACTGGGAAGGTCCCAGCGATCCCGCCGGCGTCTTCCTGATTCCACCTCCAGGGAGCGCTCGCGTGCCAGCGCAAGGCTTCTTGGGAGATGTAGTCAAGGAACCCCGGTCCTAGGTGGGGGTGGTTTCTTTCCTGTGGCATCTCCTATGTTCTCTAACCCGCTCAACCTCCACTGATGGGCCATTGATGGTGGAGCATCTAACTTCAGACCATTGTTCTTAAAGGGGGAGGGGAGGTCCGTACCAACACCATCAGTGTCTTATGGGAGCTTGATTAAAGTGCAGAGTCTTTATCCCACAGACTGTTAGGTTTTTGGTTTGGGCCAGTTTTTGCGGAGCGGGGAATGGAAACGAGGGCCTCATACTTGCTAGATAAGCGTTCTACCACTGAGCTACACTAACAGCACTATCTGGTTTTATTTAGTAACTGTATTTTCAAAAATCTCTGAAGGTGGGATCCAGTAATTTGCTGTTTTACTTACAAACCCTTGACATAATTTTGAAGTAGACTCATAGTTGAGAACCTGGTTAGGCTTCCCTTGTTCCCTTCCAAGGACTCTATGACTCATTTGACATTGGTTATCCTCTCTCTCTCTCTCTCTCTCTCTCTCTCTCTCTCTCTCTCTCTCTCTCTCTCTCAGATGCACTACAGGGACCATTTATGTTCCAGTTCCTCCTCATTTAGCCCTCCTCCCCCAACATCTCTACGATATCTGAGACCCTGGAATTGAACATACATTTGGTATTGTCACTTCTCTCAACTTTTTTTATCCCCTGGCATGGACCTTATGTTCAAGGGCTGAAGGACATCATCTATATTTATTAACATGAAAGTCATCTAAGACTGTTAAATATGCATGGGCAGATGACAGGCTCATGAGTCATATTTGAGGTAGTGAGAATAAAACCCAGCCAATTCTTTTCAGCTGAGGAGTGGAAAGGAAAAGAGGTCTTGGTAATAGAGTGGAAACACTGTTGGAGGAGGGTTTTGTGTGTTGGGTTAGCCTTTGTCAGTATTCTACTTTATTTTTATGATGGGAACAACTTCAGCATGTTAAAATAGTTACGAAAAGACTCCCAATGAAGGACAGTCAGAAAATTTAATACTGCATGACTCATCAGCAGACTGAGCATGTATAAGAAGGAGAAGATGGAGCTGGGTGTAGTGGTACATGCCTTTAATCCCGGCACTCAGGAGGCAGAGGCAGGTAGAGCTCTGTGAGTTCAAGACCAGCCCTGGTCTACAAAGTGAGTTCCAGGGTAGTCAAAGCTATTACACAGAGAAACCCTGTTGTGGAATAGAATATTTGTTTTTGCTTAACTACGTAAAGATGTGTTGCATTTATTTGTATTGCAGAATAATTGTTTAACTATGTAAAGATGGGTTGCATTTGTTTAACTATGTAAAGATGTATTGCTGTTTTACCTTGCCTACCTAAGGCACCTGATTGATCTAATAAAAAGCTGAATGGTTGATAGTTAGGCAGAGGAGAGATAGGCAGGGCTGGCTGGCAGAGAGAAAAGGGACGCCAGACAGATAGACACAGAGGAAGCAGGAAAGCAGGATGAACACTACACAGATGAGGTAGCACATGGATTAATAGAAATGAGTTAATTTAAGTTAAAGGGGGAGAGGTAACTAGCTAGGAATAAGCCTAAGATCAAGCATTCATAATTAATAAAACGTCTCTGTGCGAAGATTTGGGGGCTGGCTGTGCAAGAAAGCATGCTACAAAATCCTGTCTCAAAAAACAAAACAGAAGCTGGGCATTGGTGGCGCACGCCTTTAACCCCAGCACTCAGGAGACAGAGGCAGGCAGATCTCTGTGAGTTCCAGGGTAGCCTGATCTACAGAGCAAGTTCCAGGACAGCCTCCAAAACAATACAGAGAAACCCTAACTCGAAAAAACAAAACAAAACAAAACAGAAAAAAGAACACTTGCCTGTGTAGGGTAAAAGGGCCAGACAAAGAAACCTACTCTGGCCCTGAAATCAGAGCCAGTCAAAGAAATCCACCCTGGCCCTGAAATCAGTGCCAAAGAAACACACGTTGGCCCTGGAATCAGAGCCAGCAAAAGAAATATGTCCTGGCCCTGAAATTAGAGCCAAAAGGCTAAGAAGGACCAGTGAAGGAAACACAATTTGGCCCTGAAACCAGAGCCAAATCTGCTCCTGACCAACTAAGCAGAAAACCAACCAATCCCTGAGCACAAGATCTAGCCAATCTGAGCTCAAGAGACTGAAATTTTAACAATTCCCACCCTGAAAATCTTCTCTCTGGAAAGACTCTGCCCCCAAGAAGCCCTTTATAACCCTGCACCTGTTGAGTTTGCAGCTGCTTTTTCTACCCTGGCAGAGGCAGCCATGCTCCTGGATTCTTCCCTCCCAATAAATCTCTTCAATGAGGTTTAGGTGATGACCTTTTATCACCCAAAGCACAGACAGAGCCTGGGCAGAACAGAGCAGAGCAGGGTTGTAACACTTTTACTGAGGAAACCTTCCCCTACAGGAATTCCTGGGGACCAGAGCCAAACTGTAACAACTTCTCTGGGAAAACCCTACCCTGACAGAGCAGAGCTGTTATACTGGGAAAACCTTTCCCTACAGCTGTAAACTACTGTGCTTACTGTGACCTGTGGTATTCCTTGACTTCCGATTGCCAGAATATGTTTCCATCTGAGCTGTAACACTTAGTATTCCTTGGCTCCCAAGTAACAGGATCCCTTTCCATCCATGCTGTAAATACTACAGCCTGGATGGCAACACAAAAGAAGGGAGACGAAGGTTTCCTTTAGTAGAGAGGAGAAAGTCACAGGGTTTTTTTTCTGGAAAAGATGAGAAGATATTACCTGTGAGAATGAGTGGGCTCTGTGTGTGTGTATGTGTGTGTGTGTGTTGCTGTACAAAAAAGAAAAAATCCAGAAAAGAGTTCTTAGTAACATGGAGTATTGACAGCTCCCAGATCATGTAGGGAGAATGGAAGGTGCTCTTAACTGGATGATTATGTCCCCATTCACATGTCATAAGACAATCTCCAGTGATGTTCAATGTCTGCAGATGGAGACATTAGGGGGTAATGAGGCAGAGACTTCAGGAAATGGATTGATGCCCTCATGAGAGACCCTTGCTGGATTCCACCAAACCTTGCCCATTTAATCATGTGAGGACATTAATTAATTAATCAGGAAGTGAACTTTCACCAGATACCAAGTCAGCCTTGATCTTAAGCACCTAGAGACCCTTGAAAATCTATCTCCATTGTGCAAGTCACCCAGTCCATGGTACTTTTCTTATAGAGAAACCAGGTAGACAATGAAATGGGTGGTAAGCATGGAATTGAGTTAGGGCTACCATATGCCCTCTGTGAGTTGGACAGTAGCCAGCTGTCCTGGATAGAGGAGTGGAATGGCAACTACTGTAGTTGCTGTCTTCAACTAATAAGTAAACAGGCATTGGGAAGATGGTTCATCTGTAAAGCATGGCCATGAAAGCATGAGGTCTGAACTTGAACTCCAAAACCCATGTAAAGCCAGACGTGGTGGCTTATTTCTGTAATCCCAGCATATTGGAGGCAGACAGGAGAGTCCCACAGATTTGGGCCAGGTAACCTGATATACAAAATGGCAAAGGTCAGAGACTCTGCCTCAAGGTGGGAGGCAAAGACTGACACCTGAGGTTATCCTCTGACTGACCACATGTCATGCTATGACACACTTGTGTCAACACTTAACACATGCACACAAATAATACAGAGAGAGAGAGAGAGAGAGAGAGAGAGAGAGAGAGAGAGAGAGAGAGAGAGAGAGAGAGAGAGAGAGAGTCTGACTCTGCCTCCCAAGTGCTGGGATTAAAGGCAGTGTACCTCCATGACCGACACACACCAAGATTTTTTTAACTGGAAATAAAATGAACAGGAAAGAGAGTGTGATAAAATTGACACCTCAAAGAAGTGGAACTTTGACAAGCCTGTAAGGCAGGTGTAACTAGCATTTGGGAAACTGTGGACTCAGACATTACTAGACCCACGTGAAGAGCCGAAGCTTGGACTGGGTTTTGTGAGGTTTGGACCTGAAGAAACTAGAGGGGAGTTTAAAGATTCACAAAGGTCAGTTTGCTTAACTTTATGCAAATACATTTGAAAACTGAGAAGAAAGGGATAACTTGGGGTGGGAAGGTGGCTTCTCTGTGTGTGTGTGTGTGTGTGTGTGTGTGTGTGTGTGTAAATGTGTGTGTGCTTAATTGTGTATGAGGTGTGCATAGGTGTGCAGATATATATTACGTGTGTGTGTGTGTGTGTGTGTGTGTGTGTGTGTGTGTGTGTGTGTGTGTGTGTGTTTGAAGGCCGGAGGATAACCTCAGGTGTTATTCCTCTGGTGCTGTCTATGTTTCTTTTGACATAGACCCTCTCCCTGGCCTGACACTTGGCAAGTACGCCAGGAAGCTTGGCAGCAAAGTCTCAGAAATCAGTCTCTCTCTACCTCCCCAGCACTGGGATCATAAGTGCATGCCACCACACCTGACTCTTTCATGTGGGCCCTGGGGATGGAACTCAGGTCTGAGCTAGCAAGGCAAGCTCTTCATTAACTGAACTAGTGCCCCAGCCCTGTCTGTACACTTTGTTTGAAAGAAAACATGCCTTATCAAAACCAGTTCTTGGAGTTTTGTTTTTGGGTTTTGTTCTTCTTTTATGCTTGTTTATTTATGGTGTGAATGTGAGTAGGTGTGGATGTTATGCATATGCAAGTGGATGTCAGAAAACTTGCTGGGGTTAGTTCTCTCCCTCCACCAAGTGGCTCTCTGGGATCAGGCTGGGTTGCAAGCACATTGACATAGTGTGCTATCTCCCTGACGCTTTGTTGTTTCTTTTCAACAAGTTCTCACTCTATAGTTCTGACTGGTCTGTGGCTCCCTGTGTAGACCAGGCTGACCTGGAGCTGCCTGTGCCTCTTGAGTGCTGGGAGTAAAGGTATGTGTCACAGGCCTGGCTCTAGGAGAGTCTTAAAACATAAACACACTTTAGACTGGAAAGGGT